TCTGGGGGGGATCTGGGAAGGGATACAAGCCCCGAGGGGGGATCTGTGGGATTTAGGGAAGGATATTGGAAGTCTAGGGAGGGAACCAGGGAGGTGGGAAGGATCTGGGGAGGGATGCGGGGTTCGGGAAGGGATTTGGGGGATGCTTGGAGGGATCTGGGGGAATCTGGGAAAGGACATAAGCTCTAAAGAGGGATCCAGGGGGATCCGTGGGATTCACAGAAGGATATTGGGAGTCTATGGAGGGATCCTGGGGCGATCTGGGGAGGGATGTGGGATTTGGGAGATGCTGGGAGGGATCTGGGAGGTCCAGGGAGGGATCCAGGAGGATCTGGGAAGGGATACAAACTCTGAGGAGGGATCCGTGGGATTCAAGCAAGGATACTGGGAGTCTAGGAAGGGAACCAGGGAGATTGGAAGAACTTGGGGAGGGATGTGGGATTTGGGGAGGGATTTGGGGGATTCTAGGAGGGATCTGGGGGGTTTAGGGAGGGATCTGGGGAGGGATTCAAGCTCTGAGAAGAGATCCGGGGGGATCCGTGATATTCAGGGAAGGATTTTGGGAGCCTAGGGAAGAATCTGAGGAGCTTGGAAGGATCTGGGGAGAGAAGTGGGATTCTGGGAGGGATCTGGGGGGTTTAGGGAGGGATCTGGGGAGGGATTCAAGCTCTGAGAAGAGATCCGGGGATCCGTGGGATTGAGGGAAGGATAGTGGGAGTCTAGGAAGGGATCCAAGGGGGTCGGAGGGATCTCGGGTTTCCGGGAGGGATCTGGGGGGTCTTGGGAGGGATGTATGGAGGGATCCAGGGGGATTTGGGGGATTCCAGGAAGAGTTTGGGAGGATCTGGGAGATTCGGGAAAGTATATGGGATTTTAGAGAGGGATGTAGAGAAGCGTATGGATCTAGGGATGGATGTAGTATTTAGAAAAGAATCTGGGCTATTCCAGGAGCGATATCAGGGGTATAGAGAGGGATCCAGGGGGATCCGGGGAGGGATGTGGGATTCAGGGAGGGATCCAGGGGGATCCGGGGA